CCCCAAAACCCCAAAACCCCAAAACCCCAAAACCCCGAGAAATATATATTTTATTGAAAATAATGGAGAGCAGAAGGAACTGGCTTACAACGATGAATGATGTGAGGGTTTTGGTTAATATTAGGAAGAACTGAAGGTTAAAGCTCAACGGAATCAAGAAAATCTGAGGAAGCTTAAAAGACGTCAGATGTTTAGTCTTAAGAGGGGCTTAGCTGAGCCTGATGAGGAAGAAATTATGGGGAAAGTTGAGTTTCTTAAAAAGATCCTATTCAAGAAATACCAGCAAAAGTTGATTAATTAATGAAGAGTTTTTATCTCAAATCAATCAGAAGCTGATGATTCAGGAAGAAAATAGAGTCAATAAACAAGTCGGTATGATCTTCTAAAGTTATAATTTAGTCAAATATTTGATAGAGAAAAAGGATATTTTTCAGATTCTTAATAAAATATGAGAGAATGTTTCAACTTTACAGGAAGAGAGGACACTTACTTCTGTGTTTGAGTGACTTGAAATCATAAGTATGGCGACTACTGGAGTAAAAACAAGGTACATTACTGAATTCACTGAAAAATCAGACAAAGTAATGGAGCTTATGCTTCAAATCCTTGCAGCAGAAGACTTTTACCCTCAACTCTGACTACAAGTACTTGTTGTTATTGGAAATTTTATGCTTGAGTCTAGAGACATGTATAAGGCTATCACTACCAAGGAAATCCTAGTCAACGAAATCGAGTACACATTCTTATCAATAATTGAAGACTTTATGATAAATTCTGTTTCAAATTATTACAGCAAAGACTATTCCAATGAAAATAATGACTTAAACAATTTTCTAGAAACTTTGGTTTGGCTACTCGAGATCATACTAAAATCTATTCCTGATGAAGATTGTGAGATACACAAAGAGACCTTATACAAATCTTGACTCGCTACGTTCGCTCTGTTATTTGACTTTACTAAGACCGAGATGATTAACGACACATCCCAATATAAAATGTTGTATATTGAAGATTCACTTTGCAAAGACTCGATACTTGAGTTGCTTTGAATTTTGATCAAAAAGCCTTTTGGCATAGATCCAAATATACACCCTTCAAGATGCTCAACCCCACATGAAAAGCTTTTACAAAGAGTTGTATTTTCCCCGTTTGAATCATTGAGAGGGTATTTAGGTGAAATGAATGAGGCACCAGCCAAAGTTTATCCAGGAGCACTAGCTTTCTTAAGTGATTGATTCTTGTACACCAAATATCTCTATGATGAACTTTTTAGTCAGGAAGAAGGCAAGAAAATATGTTAATCATCTAGAAAAAATTAAATTCATGGATGAGATCGTTGAGATTTATGGTACGGAACAACAGTTTTGGTTGCCAAATCAGTTGAATTATACATTATACACAACATTTTTACGATGAAGCTTATCTTAGGAAATATAGAACATTCAGGTGAAGAGAAATGTGAGAAACTGATTTATGAAATATTCTGGATGATGAGAGTCACGATATACAGAATTCAAAGATCTTCCCTTAACTTTGAAGTGAGTCCTTATGAGTAAATTCTTAGTTGATAGAATATCTTTGCAAAGCCACTTTAGCCTGTAGCAGTCCAAAAGTGTTATCATGAATACTTAGCATCTTCTTGTACATCATCAAGCAGTTTGTAGCAGAAATAAAATCAGAAAAGTAAGATATAACTGTTTTAAAACTCTGAATTCTTCAAGTTTTGAGCAGCTTCGAACTGGACTCTAACTTGTACTAGTGGAAACACAGAAGCTAGAGACAGCTTCCAGAGAGCACGTGGGGAAATATACCCAGTCCTTTTTGAATGTATTCCGATTATTAAGGTATCAGAAGATAACTTGAAGTTCATGATAAAGATTCTAGAGCTCACGCTTTTCCCAGAAGACCAATTAGATCAACAAGCGGTTGATCTATATGAAGAAACTGGATTAAGAGAGTTTGTACAAGAAGTTGAAGATCATAAATTCCAAGGTGAGAATAAGCATGCTTGTTTGCTCAATGCTCTAGAGACAGTTTAAATTTAGATTAGAGATAGAGGAGATTGTATATATTTCGCATTAATATCAAATGGATTGGGTTAGAAAGCTTAGTTGTCATGAATAAAAATGTATATCAAATGATAAAAAATTCCAACCTTTAGATAGTAAAGAAATGTGTAAAAATATATAAGTTATTCTCCAGAGATAAAGAAAGTACATCTTCAAAAGTTATCTCGCCTTATCTTTATATACTATCTCCTAAATCAACTTCTTTTTAATTGATTTCGTGATATCTTCTGAATAATCTTCAATCCAATAGGTCTAAGAGACAAAGCGAGTGACTTAGAATTCCGCATTCAAAAAGGCCAGAGAATGGAGGAAGACCTTAAATGTGATGGAGAAGCACTCTATTTCGGCTAAAAATTTGATAAACTCTTTCTGAAAAATTCCATGAAATCCATGAGTAAGACAATTCAGCCCTTACTTCAAATTATTTACCAAATTTTATCTTATTGAAATTGGAATATTTTGTCAATAACTGGGAAGTAAGCTACAACTTATGGTTTTCAATTTAATAGTAAGAAAAAGGGGTTTTGGGGTTTTGGGGTTTTGGGGTTTTGGGG